ATTTCATTTCATGCCTATAAAACATGCTGGGACTTCCTATTGGGGGAGGCCATATTGTTGGAGAAACAGGGTACTTGTTCCGGCTTTACATTTTTGGAAAGCCATTTTTAAGGATTGACTAATGTCATGTCTGTCTTGTCTAATTGAAATCTCTATAATGCAGGGGTTTCCAACCTTAACAACATTAAGACTTGTGGACTTCAAGTCTTAAAGTTGTTAAGGTTGGAAACCCCTGCATTATAGAGATTTCAATTAGACAACTCCCAGAGTTCCTCAGCCAGCTTTGAAGTTGAAGTCCACAAGTCTTAAAGTTGCAAAGGTTGGAGACCCCTGCTATAATGGAACAACATCTCAGGCCTTTTACATTCCATTACTCCAGCAATATCTCTTCTGTGTGGTAGGAACTGTCATGCCAAAGCTTCATTTCAGGAAGACTCTTAACAGCTTTCTAGAAGGTTTTTAAAGGTACATAATTATTTACTTCATATGTAATGAGCAAGACCCCAGGAACCTCAGACTAAGAGTTACTTTCCCACATGTAGGAAAAACATCCACCAGACTTAAGTGGGACTATGCTGAAATCCTCCACTGTTGGGAGTTGCACCACCAGATGATCAGTATGAGTGGCTGGGGACGGACTGAATTAGCCTTAATGTTCTGGAAGTCTCTTAATGGCTTGCTAAATGGACAATCCCCCTTCAGGGACAGGAGCACAAGAGAGACCCAGCCAGTTCAGGCATTTTTAATTGACTGAGGCAAAGTTGGCTGAAAATTTCTTGCGTTCTCAACTTCTCCAAGCTGGTGCCTTTCAGAGAAATTCAGCTTCAGTCCCTTGGCAAGGCTGGCTTGCCACGTTAGGGAGTTGAGTTAGGGAGTTAAGAGTCAAATACTCCTGGAAGATATCAATTCTGAGGGAAGAGAGCAAAGCTAATGTGTGTTTTTAAACGCCTTTTAAATTGTATTTACAAATTATAAGCAAACATTCCCAAAACAGCTAAATATGTTTTTTTTTAAAAGAAGAAACATTAGGAAAAGAGAACACCAAACTCACTAATAAAAGGAAAAATGAGGTAGGGGAGATATTTTGATTTAAATACCACGATAATCTGACAAGGTTTGGGGCCTATGTATATCTGCGCACTTACCTTTATAGGAAGTTAGCACCCACCCGTCTCCTAGAAAAATGAAATATCCTGGGAAATATTAAAAAGGCAGAATATTTCCTCTAAAAAGAGTAGAAACTCAGAAGCAGAAACTCACCTCAGAAGTAGAAGCTCACCCCCACCTTTGTTAATGGGTGGGCCGTGAAGACCTGGGCCAGAATACTTTACATAACAAAGATCTCCAAGTAAAGCTATAGCAATTGCTCAAAAGCCCTTTCAGTGCATCATCCAGCAAGGCTCAACCAAGCCTGGAACTCAGGACAGCCTACAGAGTTGTCCCTGCATGGCCCCATGGGAGGCTGACAACCAATCAGAATACAAGTTCAAATTCAAATCCCAACAAAGGTTATAAAACCCAGGCACCCTCAGCACCTCAGCCCTTTTTCTTAATCTCTTCCTTCACCTTGAAGTATGTGATCATCCTTCCTTTTCACTCTGGAGCTCCAGGCTATGTGGTCCTGTCCACCATTAAACCTTCCAAACAGCCTCCATGTTTCCAGGGTCTTTTTCCCCACTTGGAACTGAACCCAGAAGGATTTTTCTTTCAACACCATGGCCAGAAAAATATGAGCGTTTTAAGAATTCAAAGGCTCTGCTTAATGGTGGAGGGCATAATCATTAGTGGGCGCCAGTGTTAATTCTTGACAGCGGGAGAGGCTTCACGCTAACAGATCTCTTACTGGCTTTTAATAATCCGTTTTCCTTGACATCTGCAATGTAGTACTCTTCCAATCTCTCAACATTTCAGTCACTTAGACATATAAACGGGGCCACCGGGAGAGGCCGCCCAAGGCAGTGATATTGCCCACCCATCCACAGACAGGGAGGCGAGGCGACGGCCTGCGCCGTGTCCTCCTCCAAGCTGAGCCCCGCCGAGTGAGCGCCTCTGCCCGATGCCCATGCAGCATTTGGAGCTGCCGGCGCATTTGGAGATGCGTGGGGACGGGGACGGGCTGGGCGAGGGGTGGAAAGGATGGGCGGCTTCGGGCTCTCTCTGCTGGACCTGCCGGTCAGGGAAGCAGCGCTGCCGTCGCCTCACCTCCCTGTCTGCGGACAGGTGGGCACTATCACTGCCTTGGGTGGCCTCTCCCGGTGGCCCCTTCGGGTTCGGGCTGGAAGGACTTGGGAAGGAAGCCAAGCTCGGGGCGGCCCGGCTCTTTCGCTTGGCAGGTGGGCGCGCACCCATGGCTCGCTTTCCCAGCTCTGCCCAGCCCACCCGGCTCTGGTGCGGCCCTGGTGGGATGAGCAGAGGGTCCAGCGGGGAGGCACACACTGCCTTGGCAAGAGCTCCGCCTCCGGGCAGGAGGGCCTGCCTGTCAGCTGCGCTGGGCACCCCAGGCAAAGCTCTTCACGCTCTGCCCGGCGCCAGGCAGGGACGGTGGCTGGGCGCTTCTCCCGGGGTGGGCCGATCCTGTGCTGCGGCCCTGGGAGATTCACCTCCCCATGTGCGGTTGGGCTGCCCTCTCGGGCAGGGGAGGCTTTGTCGTACCGGTACTAGGGTGTCGTTTTTTAAAAAATTGGCTTTGCCTTCGAAGGTGAAGGGAAGGTGGCGACAGGAGCGCCTGAAGCCGAGTGTCTCTGCCGGGCTCCGATTGCAGGGAGGAGACCTGGCTGGCTACGTGTGGCTGCGCCAAACGCCGGGGCGTTGCTCTAAACGCCTCAGCAGCACAGGGAGAAGGGAAAGCAACGGTGGTGGAAGGTCTCCCGATACGAAGTGCCCCACCAACGCTGAAGTCAACATCCAAGCCATCGCCGCCCGCCCGAGGATGCAAGGGGAGGGGAATTAAGTCACCCCCGAAAAGACGGCCTAGCCGTTTTTTCAGGGGTCAAAAAAAATTAAGGCCCAGCCTTATTTTGTGAGAAACACGGTACTAACCACCCCCAGCGTTGCATCACTTTTCAACCCACAGGCCAATTGGTACAGCCAGGTCTCCATATCCTTCTGAAAGGGAAGGTTGGGAGCCCACCTCACCTCTGGGGGAAAAATGTTCCAGAGGGTGGGAGCCAGAGCAGAGAAGGCTCTCTTTCTGGGCCTCACCAACTGAAATTCTTTGATTTGGGCCTGTATGGTATTTGTATGTCAGTTCCCCTGATCACGAAGTCCTCCAGCTGGTAAGAAGATCTGCTGTGCAAACCCAGATTTTGAAGGTACATGAATCGCTAGTCTGCCACCCCGAGAGAGCCAGCTTCCAGCTGGGCATCTGTAGAAGATGCCCGAGCCAAAGATGGCCCATGGGAGTGATGACTTATTGATTACTAGCTCTGTACCCATGCTTTGCTACGAAACTATGTGATCGGGCTTAGTTTTTTGGGAGGAAAATAAGGAGAAAAAAATCCTGCCTCTGCCTACCAGCATCCATCAGTATTCATCTGGCTAGCGTCCTGTCAGTGTGTGAGAGAATTGCGGGCTGTTTGGAAAGTGAAACAGTATTTGCTGTGTGAGCAAGAAGGAGACAGCAAGGCGCCTGGGCGTGGCTTAGCTCAATTGTTCTGTACTAAAGCTGCTTGCTGCTGTGAAACTAAAACTTGTCTTCTCTGCTTGTTTTTTGCAGGTGGGGGGAGTAGAACTCCTTAGCATCAGAGCGTGTTAATAATAATAATATAGGAAATACTAATGCTCTGATGGTCATTTCGAAAAATCCTTTCTTAGTGAGCACCTAGAAGCCAAGAGGAACACAAGTGCCAAATTTCAAGTTTGTAGGCTTTACGGTTCTGGAGATTTTGTGATGATGCATGAGTGGTATTTTGCTTTTATATTAGATTTATATTTATATGATACAGATTTACAGAGCCGTCCCCATGGACATCTATGCCATATCGTGAGGCAAGTGTACTTGTACAATAATGGTTTTTGTGTGTGATGCAATTTCATCCAGGTGATAAAAAGCAAGGTGTTTACTAATCAAATGCCTTCATTTTTAAATGCAATACCTACAAAGCATGATTTTGTCCACCACGGTGTCTCATCTTCCAGGGATCTCCAAAGTTAGCAACTTTAAGATTTGTGGACTTCACTTCCCAGAATTCCTCAGCCAGCCATGCTGGCTGGGGAATTCTGGGAGTTGAAGTCCACAAGTCTCAAAGGTTTGTTTGTTTGTTTGTTTATTATTTATTTATTTATTTATTTATTTATGGGAGTTGAAGTCCACAAGTCTCAAAGGTTTATTATTTATTTATTTATTTATTTATTTATTTTGTCAATTGCTTACAAGATAATAAGTATAAGTAAAAACATAGTTATGAATACATGGATACATATAAGAAAAATAAAAATTAAAAAAAAAAAGTTGCCAAGTTTGGAAATCCCTGCCCTAAACCTTTGGAGGATATCGGTACTTTGTTTTGGGGGGCTTTTGGACTGGAATCAATTCTACAATGCAACCGGTTCGGGGCATTTCTGCTTGGTCCCTGGGAGACATTAAAAGGGTCCGTAATAATAATTTAGGAATTGCAATTAAGGTTCAAAGTGGGGTTGCACGACCGCAATTCCAACGCCAGTCCCGATTCTCTTCCTCACCTTTTCTCGACAGCAGCGGGACGCCCAAATGTTGGGTGCTAGGGAGCCGGAGGCCTGGGCACGGCGGTGGATCACGCCCACCGGCTGCAGGAAAGACGACGGACGTCCATCTGGCTTTTCCGAGGCTTCCCCGCTTCGGCTGCAGCTTCGCGGTCCGGGAGTGGGTGACGTCAGGGGTCCAGCCCGGCCTCGGCCACGCCCCTCCCCTCTTCGCGGCCCCCCATTGGCTGCGACGCGCCGAGCTAGCGGGTGGCAGGAAACGTTCCAAAAGGCGAGCGCCGCCAGCTGCAGATCAGCTGCTGCTGCCGCTGCCTGCGGAGGCGGAAGCGGCGCCGGCCAGCGGGGAAGCCTCTCTCTGGGAAGGGACGGGCATTTCAGGCAGGCCGCTCGGCGGCGATGTCCCCGCAGTAGCTCTCTTGCCTTAGTCCCCACGCTTGGGGGGCAGGGGAGGGGCAATCCGGCCCGAGCGCTTGAGATGCCCGACGCTGGGCGGGCGCTGCTGGCATGGCCTCCTTCGCGGCTCCCGAGCAGCAGGACGGCGACAGCGGGGAGCTGGACCGCTCCCTTCAGCAGATGCTGCGGGCCATAGTGGAGGAGAGGACCCGCGTTAGCCTCCGCCACGAGATCAGTGGGCTCGGTGAGTGGAGGGCCGGCTGGAGATGCCGAGGGAAAGCAGCAGCCGGTGGGGTTGGAGGGGGCGAAGGCGACCCGGGGGCATCCCTGGTAGAGAAAGTCGCCGCCTTGCTTGGTCGGGAGAAATGCAGGCGCTCCGCCACCCCTCTCTCTGCGCTGACCCTCCTTCTCGGAAGCCCTCTGCACCTGCTCAGGGACTCGTTTCCCCCCCACCCCGCCCATAACCTGCAAAGAGCTGGAGACCCTTGAGGTGGGCGCCCGCCTTGCACAGAAATTGTGCCTTGGTAGCTTTTCTGCTTCAGTGCAGAAAGGATTCCTTAAAGTACCTGGGGAAAAATTTCTGCCTCCCCGCTGTGGTAAAGGAACAGGCCTACCTTGGTCTGAAATAATATAGGGTCTCCTGCTTGAGCAAGGGGTTGGACTAGAAGACCTCCATGGTCCCTTCCAGCTGATTGATTGATGATTCATGCGTGCAAGCCACCCAGTTGTATTCTCCAAAGTGCCCATCATTGCCAAAATGAAACACCGGCCACTAGTTGCTGAATTAGGGTGATTGAACTGCTACCAGAAGCTCCGTTCTGTTAAATGTGGGAAGAGATCCTTTTGTGGTTTCATAAATAAACCTTTATTCTTGCATAAAGACTCTTAAATGTGGGAGATACAATTGTTCCCTGTGTAGATATAAGTAGTAGGCCTAATAATTCCCCTAAATGAGAATTGTCTCTACTTCCTGCTAGAATAGATCCTCTTAATAAGACAGATCTGTGGGAGTTGGACTCATATTCTTTTGAGGAAAACAAAGTTTGTTTCCTCTTTCCTGGCTTAATTTCTGAAGAGGGGAAGTAGGAGGGGGCTGTTGTGAATTGCACTTTAGTTTTAGTTTTTTGGGCCAGCCTGCCTTGCCTCACAAAAGGGTAGCAAAGGTGTGTCTCCGCTACTTTGCTGGGCAGAGATGAGGAAACTGTCATTTTAATGCTCTCTGTGTTGGGAGGTATTGCTGGATCTTGCTTCACCCGAAAGCCTCTGAGAGCTTTTATTTATTTATTTTTTAAAAGGCTTCCCTATTTCAAGGATACCGGTTGAAATCGCCTCTCCGTTGTCTTCCTGCCTTGTTTCTAACACAGGCCATAATATAACATGTTTCTGATGTATGCTCCAGTTTCTAGAATGCAGTGTAAACAATTAAATCCCCTCCTAGACAGAAAAAAGGCCTTTGTGTTCCCCAAGTTGGAGTCTGTTGTTGTTGTTGTCATGTTGGATGAACACCTGTTGTACATTCTGGAATATGTAACATTCAAGGATCTAACATAATCCCGTCTCCAACATCCTCTGAAGAAGTGGTGTAGGGTTTCCTACCTAGGCAGGGGGTTGGACTAGAACACCTCCAAGGCAGAGGTGGCATTCAGCAGGTTCTGACCAGTTCTGGAGAACCGGTAGCAGAAATTTCAAATAGTTCGGAGAACCGGTAAATACCACCTCTGACTGGCCCTGACCCCATCTATTCTCTGCCTCCCATTGAGTCCCAGCTGATCAGCTGGGTCTCCTTTTGTTGCCCTGCATAGGAGAACGGAGCTGGAAAGCAGGTTAGTTGGATAGAGAGGGAATGGGGATTTCTTCCCTTGCCACGCCCACCAAACCATGCCATGCTACGCCCATGGAACCGGTAGTAAAACTAATTTTTGAATCCCATCACTGCTCCAAGGTCTCTTCCAACTCTGTTATTCTATTCTATTCTATTCTATTCTATTCTATTCTATTCTATTCTATTCTATTCTATTCTATTCAGTTGGCTAAAGCATCTTACAGATGTCTTCTTTACAGCTTAATTCTGCAAACAAATTGAATGGCCACAGCATTTATTGGATTGGAATCTAATAAGTGTATTAAGGTGTATTTCCCATGGTTTACTGGGAGATTTCTCAGCAAAAGATGGGAAGTGATGAATGAACTTTTCTGTAAGAGGGTTTGCCAGATCTTCCCCTCCCCCTCCAAAATGGGAATCTGCTCCACTTACTAGGAGGTCATTAGGAAACAACAAATACATTATCTGTTCCAAGGGTGTCATATTGGCGGCTCGTGACCCAGATGCATCATGCACAGGCCACGCCTACCCCAGCTCTGGAAAGGCAAAAAATGTGGCCATATGTCATGTGACATCAATGTAATGTGGTGAGTTTGACTCCTGTGATTTATTCTGATTGATTGATATTTATAATCCTGTCTTTATTATTTTAATAAATAACTAGGGGCTGTGAACATACTCTTTATTATAGCCTTTATTTCTTTGTCAGTAAATATAAATTTAACATACATAATGCTTGTTCCTTCTCCTATTTTCCACACAACCCTGTGAGGTGAGTTGGGCTGAGAAGAGAGAGAGAGTGCGACAGGCTCAAGGTCACTCGCCCCGCTTTCACACCTAAGGTGGGACTAGTGCACATATCTCTTGGTTTCTAGCCTGGTGCCTTCATCACTAGGCCAAACTGGTTCTAAATGGTCCCAGTAGCCCCATATTAAGAGCATCCGTTGGTTTCCCAGAATCCTTTGTACCAAGCAGAGTAGTGTGGACAGATTGTAGAAACAGTTCAACCGTTGGTGGAGAAGACATTCCCTGATGACTGAATACCACTTTCTAGAGCTGTGTTCATCAACATCGACAACTTTAAGATGTATGGGCTTCAACTCTCAGAATTCCCCAGAATTTAATTCCACACATCTCAAAGTTGCCAAGGTGGAGAAATACTGGTATGGGGGGCAGAGGGGAAGGAAGGAAATCACAGTTTGCAGCTGCTTCCTTCCAACCTTTTTGTCTTAATTAGATGAGGAACTCCCCATCACAAATGCCCATGGCTTGCTGTGCTGGTCAGACAGTATATAGTTAGTTGGGAATTGGGAGCTGTCCCCTTAAGGGAATGCTTCATGAGAAATGTAGTTAATGCCTCATGGGAGATGTAGTTCATGTCATGTGGTTACATCAGTAATCCTGACTGGTCACTGAATTGATCTCTAGTTGGGTTGGGGGGAGTTTGTTCACAGGCAGAGTAGCTAAACTACTATGCAAAGATTGTGAACATTAGATGAATCTCAACATAACTGTGAGTTATACCTTGAGGATGCCTAATAAAATCCAATAGAGAAACTTTGTATGGAAGCCTTTGTAGAGTTTAACTAACTGTCTCTATATTCAGCCAGAAAATTAGAGAGACAGCACACTTGCTATTGTCTGACTGAAGCTCAGCTAAGACAGGCTAGAGCAGCGGTCTCCAACCTTGGCAACCCTAAGACTTGTGGACTTCAACTCCCAGAATTCCTCAGCCAGCTTTGTTGAAGTCCACAAAGTTTTAAAGTTGCCAAGGTTGGAGACCCCTGGACTGCAGGTCTTCTGTGGCCTTTGAGGTCCTGCTTGATCTTTTCATTTGCCTGCTAAAGGTTGCCACTACTTTGCCTGATGACCATTTTCCTCCTTCCTTGACAGCTCTCAATACAGTATCCTTGCTCACAGTCTTGGCTGTGCCTTAGAAGTGGCATGATCATTCCATGATTCATTCTCCTTTTGTTCCCTTTCCACCCTCCTTTGAAGTGCTACCCTCCCTGCTCTGAATCCGTGACTTCATAGCATTTGTCAAGACCTCCTAAGTGCATTATGGGAACAGCCTTTTGTGTTTTATGCACTGCTATAAAAAAAAAAGATTCCCTGTGCTTGTTTCTAACTGTGGCTCTGTTTAGAAACCTAGAGAAAAATCTGCAGCCCAATTTGTTATGTTTGAACTACAATGCAAACTCAGCTGCCAAAGAAATCAGTTAGAGAAACAGGTAGATTTACATGCAATACAGATCTCTGGCAAAATAATTCAGGCTACATCTTTATTTCTCTAGTTATCCAGTGCAAGAATATTGGAATCTGTCTAGCATAAAAATCTTGCACTTTAATTAATGCTGTTGAATAACCATCCTCTTCAGGGAACTCACAAGTTGAAAAACAACTTTATTCAATGGGATTCAATTTATAAGAGCCATCTTAATATTTCAAATGTGATGGTTATGACAGAATTATTGTGGGTTGGGCAGCCTTAAAAAAATTAAATTATAAATAAAAATCAATGCCATTAGGTAAGAAAAAGAAGTTGTTGTTTTCCTTAGTTAAGGAGAACTAAACAAGTGTGATGAAAAGAAGGCACAGCCATTTTTGGCTGATTCTTGGAACAATTTTTCTGTGTTAGTGTTTGTGAAGCTACTATCGGTAAAATATAAGGGCAAGACTTTGTTTTACAGTTCAGAAATAGTCTTGGAATGTTTTAAATTAGTGTTTCTTAACCTTGGCTGCTTTAAAATGTGTGGACTTCAACTCTCAAAGTTCCCCAGAGTTAAAGTCCGCACATCTTAAAGTTGTCAAGGTTGAGGAACCTTAAACTATTAAGAACAGAAATTGTGCAACTCAATCTGTGTATAAATTGAAAGAATTAAATCAGTTCACTATTCAACAATAAGCACCTTCAAGATTTTGCAGTACTGCTGAAAGATTTGCTAATCTGGTTGCTTTGATTGGTGATAAATGGACATACATTTGACTAATCTACATGTGATTATCAAGCAGATATAGAAAGTACCGGTAATAGAATATTCCCTACAGTAGTACAAGAAAATCAGTAAAGTTTACTGTTAACTTTTTAGTGATGGCTGTGTTTTGGTGGTCATATAGAAAAAAGACGCACAATATTGCTTCCAAAAGGAAGGATACTATGACTCTAAAACAGTGTTTCTCAATTTGGTCACCAAAGAGCCACTTTGGTGGTGTGGTTAAAGCATCAGGCTAGAAACTCTGAGTTCTAATCCTACCTTAGGCCTGAAAGCCAGTTGGGTGACTTTGGGCTAGTCACACTCTCTCTTAGACAACTCAACTGTCAGGCTTCTTGTTGTGGAGAATATAGGAAGAGGAGGGGATATTGGGTATGTTAGCTGCCTTGAATTATTTATAAACATAAGAAATGTAGGATATGAGTAAAT